CTAGCTAAAGTCGATATGGATATACCGACACCGGCAACTCTTTCTTTAGCAAATAATGCTTTGCCAACTATTATATCGACCGAAAAAAAAGGAAAGTAATTAAACAAAGGAAAAACAATCTCCTTTTTCTTTTTATAGCGGCCTTTCTACTTATCTATCGACTTGCACTTTTAAAGTATTAGTCAAAACTAGCTCTTGCAAAGAGATATTAGCCTTGATTTTGGTTATGGCGTTAGCAAGGTTAGATTTGCCTCCGATCTAGCGTACCTTAAAAAGCTCTCGCCTTTCGTATGACTCTCGAATAGCTATAATATCGATCATTAAACGCTTCTCTTTAATAGTCTTTAGTTTTACTATGCATTCGTAAAGCGAGTAAGAGTCAGTGCATACGACTACGAAGAAGTTAAGGATTCTTAGCTAAGCCGTGATTTGAGCAAAGGTAATCGATATAGCAATAGCCATATCGATACTTAAGGACATCGCGTATAGCTCAAAGGCTAATACTACTCTTATCACCCTCTTGCACTTTTGTGACACTTAATATAAGATATTACCCGTCAAAGTAAACTTGTTCTCACTTACGTAAGCCTTATTGCTAAAGATAGCTACGAAACCGATCTAAGAGCTAAAGTCAGCGTTATTAGCAAACGCTCCGTCCACGAACACAAAGAGCTTCGCAGTCTTTAGGTCTAAGAGCACGTAATAGATCCTTCGAGTTGGGTGATCGATCAGCTACTAGATCACCTTATTAAAGGCTTTGTAGTCCTCGTCCTTCGGTTCTTGGTGCTGGGCGGCCATCGATAGAGCGCAAGATGCTTTTAAGTAGCAAATAATAGCCAAATACGCCTTTCGAGCACGTTGCTCTAAGTACTCTTTAGCCCGTATAGCTAAATCGAGCTTGATCACTACAAGCTTCTCACTTTGCCCTTTTTGCTTAACTAATAATCCGAACTTTTTTTTATCTAAAGATAGCTTGCATCTATTAAAAATCATTAGCTCGGCGTGTATAAAGGTCTCTATTTCTTTGCTCTTCAGCTTAGATTTGACCAGCTCTTTCTCTTCTTTTGCTCTTATAGCTAGATTGATAACTATAAGAACATCATCCGTTTATAAAGCAGCTATTCTTAGCTAATCTTTATTGATTAACACAAAAAGGCAAGAATCAAAGCTCGATTGCTTTATCTCGAGGTTGTCCGTAAAATGCTTTGAAAAACGCTTATACTAATGCGTTCTTGCTTCGGGGATCTTATACAAAAGGCTAGTCATAAGAAACAAGGTGCTAAAAAGGAATCGATGAGTGATCTCCTTAAGTGGTCGCACGACGATTATTCGAATAAGCTTCGTGCTTGATTGAGTATAAGCTTAAGTGATATCTTTACTATAAACCTGACACTCGTAGTCTTTTATCAGAGAGGGAGCTAAAGCATAACAGAGTCTTTGGCCCGCTCGCTGCACCGTAAGTGACTCGGTGAGTACCTTCGTTTTACCCTTATCCTAAAAGGCTTAGACTATTATACGAGACTTTTCGTATAGCGTAAGTATTCTTTTGCTTTTGATCTTATCAACAAACTTAAATCCGAAGATCTTGGCGCCTTTAGCGCGTAGGTCGGTGCTCGGGATCACTTAAAGGATGCTTTAAGCTATCAATCCAGCTAATTCCTTTGCTCTAGACTCTTGAAATAATGCCTCGGGGCTCTTAATGATTCCCTCGGCTCGTAGCTTAGCTGAGAGCTCATGGTCCCGGCGTTCTTTATCGGTAATCAACACCTCGGAGTCCTTAATGAATAGAACGTAAGAATCGCTCTCTTTTTCGTCGAGCACGGTCGAGATACTAAGATCGTACTTCTAGTAAAGTATCTGGACTATTAATATTATTGACTTCTAAAGATTAGCAAGTTAAAGGTTAAAAGGGCTGTTTGTTAGTCTTGGCGAGCTTCTTAGATTAAGCGACTTCGGTGGATTAAGCGAATGTTAAGGTTTAAGCGAATTTCGTATTTCCAGCTCTTTTTCGCTTTCGCTCTGATCATCTTCTACCTTTTTTTCTACTTCTTCTTCTACTTTTACCTCAAGTACTTGCAACTCTTCTAGCAGCTTTTCAACTTTAAAGTAATAAGGTTTTACTAAGGTTGACTTAAATTCCGTAAGCCTCGGACAAGCCACTATGCACGTGTGCTCTTGCTTGCTAAGCAGCTGAAAGGGGCCCTTCTACCCTTAGTTTTCCCGCTACACTAGCACCCGTAAGCTAATAAGAAGGTCTAGGGTATGCTCCGTAATTGGGCCATTCCTCTTCTTGAGCGCGTCTTTAACCTGCCTCGCAGCGTAGCATTTTCGTACTTCTCTCATAGCTTTGTTAATGGCAGCAGCACGCTCTTGGGTAGACGCGGCAAGTCGATCTTGCTCCGTTAGCCTCGATAGGGTCTTAAAAACGAAGAGTATAAGAACCAAGCTATTAAGTCCAGCTGTGTCGTTAATGGCTTTAATAGCCATTTGAAGCCGGTCTTCTTTTAAGGCTTTTGGAAGCTCTTTTATGACGATCTTAAAGGCGCGTCGCACAAGGACGTAATAGCGTTTTATTAGCCCGACGCTGTGATAAGCTTTTATAAGCATCTGCTTTAAGGTGCTGCTAATACCTTTAAAGTAGCTTCGGAACGTTGCTAAATTGAAGTTGGTTCCGGGATCGTATACTACGTTTGTAAAAGGTCCGACGTAAGTATTGACTTAACATCGACTGAATCCTTTAAATAAGTGCTGTACGGACATGCTTTTAAGAAAAGTAGCGGCTTGAAAATTAATAGAATCGCAAACGACGTGTAATACGTTCTTGCCGTTAAAGTGCATTACGTCTACGTATATCGTATTATTAAAGTCAATATCGTCTTTGAGTCTAATATTAAACCTCTTCGGAGAGCGTCCGAATACTTAGCAATAATAGCAAAACTTTTGGATATTGTAAAGCAAATCTCGCTTAAATTCGTGCCCGGCCTTTTTAAGAACAATAGCAAATCGACCTGCTAAGGAGTGGCCAAAACGCTTATAAATAATCTTCAATTGTTCTTCCGTAAGGTGGCAATAGACGGTCTCGCCTTCGGTACTATAATAAGTAGCAGCGTGCTCTTTACTTAATAGCATCCACACGTGCTTAAACATCTTTATTACTAGTATTTCCTTCTTTTCTTAGACTAGCACGTTCCGCAAGTTATCTAAGATCACTTTGTGCTTATTTATATCAGCTAATGAAAGTAAAAAGGGTACGTCGCTTTTTACAACGTAGAACTCTACTTAACTTAAAAAGGTATCTAAGGTAACTGCTCTAATAAAGGTGGCAGAGCCGATGCCGTATTTGACGGACTTCTCCTTTGCTCGGGATGTATCCAATTGGACCTCGAGGTACTTCTTTTGAAGTGCTTGTAGCTAAGGCAAGCTAGCGGTAGAGAAATTAGCTGCTCCGCTATCAATCATAAGGCTTATGAACACGTTTTCAAAGTACTTAAAGGCTATATAAGTCTTTGCCTTACCCGCGGGCACACGCGGATCTTGCCCGAGTATCTTTTAAGTCTTTACTTAGCTAATAAAAGCGTAGAATGCCGTTTAAATCTCTAGCTGTTTATATACCTCGTCAGCGTCAAAGGTGCCGTAAGTAGTCACAAAACCTTCCGATATATTAGCGTAGCTGCTCGATTCGAATAGCTCGTCTAATAGGCCTGCGATAAACTGATCGAATTCTTCCGTAAATACAGATGGCTAGCCTTCGATCGACGCTACGTATTAAGAAAATTTGCTTCTCGTCACCCTTTTTGCGTCCTTAAAGGCCTAGAACTTAGCGACGGATGCCTTCTTTTCGTCGAGGGTGTGGTTGGTGCTCTAGCAACTTAGCTTTTTGCAAACAAAACACTTTTTCTTACCCTTAATAGCCTTAGCAGCTTTCTTACCTCCGAAGTATTGGCGGTCTTAAATAAAGCATTCGTATTCCTCGTCTAAATCGGAGTCAGCCTTTGAAGTGTTGTGCTAAAAGCAGGTGTGATCGTATAGCTCGTTAGAGCTCGCGTAAGCTCTACTCGCTTTGGCAAGAAGTCGGGAAGTCTTAGTTGCAAACGCAATAACCTTGCGAATGTCGGCAACTGCGGCGGTAAAAGTAAAAGCAAGGTTCATTCGTGCAATCGTAGTCTTTAGCACGTTTTTATAAGCTGAATACAGCTTATCAGCAAGACTTCGATCATCTTTTAAACTTAGTCGTAAAGAGCTTTGAATCCTTTTAAACTCTTTAGCGAGCTTTTTAAAGCACTCGCTAAGCGAGGTCCTTAGATTCTCTTTCTTAATCAAATCCAACGAAATTTCCTTTTAGCGGTCGTATTTTGCTTGCCGCCGGTGGTCAGTCTCGAAGTGGTCTTTTACTGCAATAGCGTTTGCTTTGAAAGTCGGAAGTCTAGCCTTAATAACGTGATTATAATAGAAGGTTATAACCTCCTTTATAAGCATAATCGGGAACGCCGCTAAGTAGTCTTCGGAGGTCAAACCGTATCGACTTGCTTAGTCAGCAAAAATTCTTAATTAAGTCTTAAAGTCATCGTCGGATCTTGAATACTTCAGCTCCTTAAAAAAGCTTCGCGCGAACAAAGCTAATTCCTTCGCTCTTAGGTGAAGGTCTGCTGCCCTTAGCTTAAGGAAATCGTTTCCATTATCGTCAAGAGCGCTTAGAATGCCGTACGCAAGCGTGCTTTGCTTAGCTAATAATCTAATCGGTAAAAGGTTACCGATATAATTGCCGGTGGTCCGTCTTCTTTTAAGGTCCTTAAAAGGCTTATTTCCGAATCCGGAGTCTTTTAAAGGTCCGTTTCCGAATCCCTTTGATAGTCCAAAAGGGCCGTTCTTATCTCTTCCGTGCCCGTAGCCTCGATCTCTTTGCTAATCTCTCTCGTTTCCTCTTCGTCGGTTATCGTTAAAATCGCTAAGGCTATTCGGGTTATCGGCTAGAGCTTTAGCTTAATAATATCCGTACCTTTAAGCGCGCTCTTAGCGATCTTCATACCCTTAATATCCTTTTTGTCGATACGTAGCTTATTGAAGGATCTAAAGAGCTTGTCGATACGTCCGAAGGTGCTAGATCCCCTTCTCGAGTTGCTAAGGTTAAGCACGGAAATCTGCACGCTATCCTTAATAAGAGCTGATTTTGTCCGAAATGCTCTTAGGTTTTGACGGGTCTTCTTTTAGCGTATAGCTGCTATTGCCTTGCGTATTATCAGGCCCGATTATGTTTTCGAGGCCGTTGTTATTACTACTCGGCCTTGGATTTTAAGAAACCCGGTTATAGCTCTTAAGAAAAGGGTTTAAGGGCCGCTAAGGTGATTTTGGCTCTTGTATGATTAGCGTATTGCGTAGCGGTTGCTGAATTAAGGGCGTCGAATACGTTGAAGTGCTTCGTCGTAGCCTTTCGTTAGATTGTATAACGTAAGTCCGTAACTCCGCTATTTGCTTTGCTATCACCTTTATATTTTGCTTTATATTCCTCTTCTCTTTCGCAAATTCCTCGCGTAACCTCCGAATCTCTTCCTTTTCTTTCTTTGATACTTCTTTTTCTTTCCCTTTTAGACTTCGTAAGAGTGGTAGAGGTGGTTGAAGCGTATTATCTTCGTCGTCCGTAAGGTTTTCGGCGGTCCACCTTGAATCGAGGCTTAAGGGTGCTGCTTGCTGCTCTTTTATTTCCTGGAAGGTCTATTGGTGTTGCTGCTCGTCGTTCAAGAGCTTGACCATCCTATTAGCGTAGCCCTTTTGCTTTAAGGGGCACCACACGCCTTTGGATAGCAAGTGTTCCTTAAGGCTAATAAAAGTAGCAAACTTAAGGCCTCGTCCCGTATTGTCCCTCGTTATTATAAAACTGGTCTAATCTTAGCGTAAGAAAGCGTGCCGGAATAAGCTCTACAAGTCGTAATCCTTTAGCCCTCTATACTTCGCATCTAGGAAATCGTTCATTATCGCTCGGGCCGTGATCTCACTATCTAGCCTTGCGTATGGTAGCTCGTTTAAGTCAAATGAGATGCTCGACATCTCGTCGTTTGGTCTTTCCGAAAGGCTTGGGAGTCTTGGGTATAATGGTCCTTTTAGCTGAATAGCTAGGGGTTCCGTAGGTAATGATAAGACTCGAAGGGTATAATACCTTACTGCTCCTTGTCGGCTGGACTTCTTACTTAAAAGTCTAGTTGCTCGATCGGCTATAGTTGTTGTCTGCTCGTACGTAAATCGATCGTGTTAGTTGGGTTTGCTATATGTAGCAGGCGCGGCTCTATAGCTTTGAAGGTTGTATAAAAGTGACTTGGTTCGGAATCACTCTTCCGTAAGAATAAAAGAAAATCGGTAGTATAAGAAGCGACTTGGTACGGAATCGCTTTTCCGTTATAAAAGGAGAAAGGTATCGTAGTAAAAGGTATCCTCGCTATAAAGTATTCCTAGCTTCTCTATGATTGATCACTTAATAGTAAATTAACCATTGATCAGTGTTAGATTGCTTTTAAGCGATTAAGAATATATATTCGTAAGGTCGTAACGGTCGTCAAAGTACTTGCAATTGCAAAACACTCGGTTGATAAGGTATCTGAATTCTGTCTGCTCCCCAAGGCTCAAGGGAGCTGATTCTTTCTATACGATTAGAAGGAATCACGTGCACTAGCTAGCTAATAGATTTACTTGTCAAGTTGGGGGTCCCCTGACTGCTGACATGCTAAGCGAGGCATGCCAAGTGGCCCGTGAACCATGGTTCACGGGTGAGCTTCCCCAACTACTACTACTACTACTACTACTAGCTAAGGTCGATATGGATATACCGACAATAATAAAGACGGAAAGAAAATTTACTTAACGGTAAACGCTAGTCTTAAAAGATAAAGAGCAGTATTGCAACAAAAGGATTCCGATAAAAAGCGATATCTTGCTAAGTTCGAGAGTAGTCTTTAAAACTTTGCGAAGAGCAAATACGACGCGATTAAGCAAGAATACCGCGGTGCTTTAAAAGTTATAAAAAAGATAAAGAGCGAATTATACGAGGTTCACTTCATCTTAAAAACCGACGCTAAAGTATTAATTGATTAACTTAACGGATTAGCGAGCGATTTGCTTAAAGCTTTCGTTACGAATTAAATTGCGTAAATGAGATTAATAGACTTTAAAGTCAAGCATATCTTTAAGACTAAAAACACAGCAGCGGACGGTCTTTTTAAAAAGGGAAAAGAGCATCTTTTAAATATCAAAGAAAGAGAAGAAAAAAATATTAACGATTAAGTTACTAACGAGTTAAGCATTATTTTAGTATTTTCGGTTAAACGACTCGTAAATTATAGTTTACGAGCTAAAAAGAGAGTTTTAAAGCACGATTACTCGCTCGACTTCGAGCTTATCGCTTAATTCTTTATTACTTTTAAACGCTTTCTTTCGATCAAGACTTACGACTTTTAAAAGTTTAAGAACAAAGCATTTAATTACTTGGTTAAAGATAATTA